AGAAAGTCCACAAATAGATGGCAACGAATGGAATGTAGGCGAGATTTTTATTTTCCAGTGAGAAATGCTGCGATTGATCGAATGAATTGTAACCGCTTGGTAGCACTGCGAATCCATATGCAGCAACAGTTGCGGCACAAAGAAGTGATCCCGCTAACATTGTGAGATACAACTTTCTTTTGCCAGTGAATTTTACCAAACACATGAAGCTTATGGTTGCTATGTTACTGACAAATCCTTGAATAGCGGTTGCTCGATCGACTGGAATTGGACTATCATATGCTTTGAATATCTGCACAATGAATGGGTTCATGGAAGATATTCCAGAAAATGCTGATATGAAAAAGAGTGACATCAAAATGAAAAATGGCTTCATCGTATGTGACCGCCTCATCTCTTTGATCTTTTCCACCATCGTTGGTGGCGGATGTGTACACTTCAGGTTCTGTTTGATGCACGAGTCACAGAACTTCGTACGGTCGCTGTAGTGTTGCATGGCCTCAAATTCTTTAGCAATCTTTTCTTTCGGCACCCAGCCTCGAAGCCAGCATAAGGATTTTTCAGCTTCAACCGTTCGATTCTTTGATAAAAGCCACATTGGCGTTTCAGGAACCTACGGAAGAGATTTCAATCCAGAAATTTACAAAATGAATAGATGTGTCAAGAGAATATTTTTCATTTATCCAATTTTTTGGAATTTTAAGCCGAATTTTTTGTAAATTCATGTTGAAATTGTCCTCGATGATTTTGTATAACTTACAAAACAAAGCGCAACGATTGTTACGATCGGCACGAACATGCAGACTAAACCGACAATTCTCCATGGCATCAAAGTGTTTAAAATGAGCACAAAGAACATTCCAAGCGAAGCATTCATACCTGTAATAGCTAACAAAACGGCGCGGAATGAAGGTGAACTGAGGAATTTATTGGACAAATAAAAATGAATTAAAAAGACGCTTTTTCGTCTATTGGGTCGTCAAGTTCAAAACCTACCATATTTCTCCGAGATAAGTAATGATAGGGGCTTCCATCAAACCGATGCTCAAACCATGCAGCACAATCGCTATGAATACCTCTGTAACACTGGTTGCATTGTACATCATGAACCAGGCAATGATTAAAGGGATATTCACCAGCATCATAGTCTTCTTTCGACCTGATTTTCAATTTCATTTCGCAAATGATCATTTTCTTCTTTGCAAATACAGAAGGAACCTACCTAAGGGATCCGTGATTATCGCTGATATAACACTTCCCAGTGGCT